TGTTGAAACACTGATTGAGTGTTTACACGAGTTATGATGCCTTTCAGTAAGTATACTGTATCTTTCAACATACCTTCGGGTGTCCATTCATGTTTATTCTGTAACTGAGGAAGAGATGATCGCGCTCCGCGCTGCCGCATGCATACAGTGATATCTGTCACGCCACATCTAAGAGCGCCAAAACGGCATTTATTGTTTGCATTTCGTGATCAAATAGACATAATTTGAAAGATTACACCTTGCTTATTATCAAAAATAACAAAACTGTTGTATGTTAAGGGTGGTATTGGGTTTGTCCAGTAGGGGGCGATGGTGCATTGTGTTTGTGGGCTGTTGCACTGTTAAAAGCAGAGAAGAACGCGCAGTGTGGGGTACTTGTGTGTGTATTGCTAGCTACAGAGATGAGTCCTAATAAAACGAGACCATCCTGAAGTTACCGTTGTCTCTGAGTTTTTCCTCGGTATCTACGATACAACATATGGCGACGAGGATGAAAGTCAGAACTTTGGAGCAGCTGTTTCCTGAGGGAATATAAAAAAAAGCAGGACACCAACGGGGTGAGCTGATGAAAGTTGATAGCTATCACCTGAAGTACTGACTGAACTGAATTGAACTATGGCTGGCATGTTGGGATCCGTGACACCATTTGATAATAAGTCACAATCATGGGAGGAGTATTGTGAAATATTGAATCATTTTTTCGTGGCAAATGATGTTGAAGAACCAGAGAAAAAACGAGCTATATTGTTGAGCTGTGTGGGAGCTCAGACGTACACACTAATGAGGAATTTACTGAGTCCTGAGAGACCGGGATCAAAAAGTTATGAGGATCTGGTGAGTTTGCTGAAAAATCACTTTAATCCGAAGCCTAGTGAAATAGTTCAAAGGTGGAAGTTTAATTCACGTAACAGACGATTTGACGAAAGCATAGTAGAATATGTGGCCGAATTGAGGAAGCTGGCACAAGATTGTAATTTTGGAGACACGCTTACAGTTATGCTGAGAGACAGATTAGTGTGTGGTGTTAATGATGACAGCATACAACGGAGATTACTGGCTGAGGATGGACTGACGTTTGAGACTGCTCTAAGGAAAGCTCAAGCTATTGAAGCTGCTAATAAGGATATGGCTGATTTGCATAAAGATACAGGAAATCGAATGGGTACCACTGTTTTCAAAATGGACACAGGAGAAAAAAGTAGAGCGAGTGTTACAGGAATGTGCTATCGATGTGGTGGAAGTAACCATGGACCAAAAGACTGTAGATTTGCCAACGAAAAGTGTTATAATTGTGGTAAAATTGGACATGTGAAAAGAGTATGTAGAATGAAACCACAAGAAACTGGTGTTAATAAAGACAGGAAATTTTGGAAATGGGGGAGAGGAAATCAATCAAAGAGGGCAAATTATCTTCAAGAAGAGGAGGAAGATCCATCTGAAGAAGTGTTCACCATGTATAGTTTAGAGACCCCACAGCCCCATGTACCCCCTATTACACAGACACTGATTGTAAATGAATGCCCTGTGAAGTTTGAGATTGACACTGGATGTAGTGTGACTGTCTTATCACAGATGGAGTATGGAAAAATGGAAGCTAAAAAGAACTGGGCTGAACTCAAAACAAGCTCTCTCAGTCTAAAAACATACACAGGACAGCCAGTGCACGTTCTAGGTACCACCAAGGTTAAAGTCAACCACAAAGGGCTTATCAAAGAACTCACAGCAGTAGTGGTGGCAGGAGCTGGGCCTAATTTATTAGGACGATCATGGCTTATAGACCTGGAACTCAGCTGGGAAAGAGTGAGTAAAATTACAGATACCTCAGAGTTGTTGCAAGACATCTTAAGGAAACATGAAACCGTTTTCAAAGACGAACTTGGAACATTAAAAGGAGCCACTGCTAAGATTCATGTACCAAGGGATGCAAAGCCTCATTTTTTTAAATCAAGGTCACTGCCTTTTGCTATGAGAGAGAAAGTTGAAGCCGAACTTGATCGCCTGATTAAAGACCATGTTATAGAGCCTGTGAAATTCTCAGAGTGGGCAGCACCTGTTGTGCCTGTTTTAAAACCAGATGGGTCAGTAAGGCTTTGTGGAGACTACAGAGTAACCATTAACAGAGAGTCATCACTGGAGCAGTATCCTATTCCTCGAATGGAGGACATGTTTGCAGTTTTAGCTGGAGGTAAAAAGTACAGCAAGTTAGATATGAGTCATGCATATCAACAGATTGTGTTAGATGAGACGTCCAGGCCGTATGTGACTGTGAATACCCACAAAGGATTGTTCACGTACACCAGATTACCTTTTGGCGTTAGTTCCAGTCCAGCAATCTTCCAGAGGACCATGGAAGGGGTCCTGAAAGATATTCCAAAGGTCACTGTATATCTGGACGACATCTTGCTGACAGGACGAGATGATCAGGAGCATTTGAGGACACTAGATCAAGTGTTGCAGCGTTTGGAGGAGTATGGTTTGAGGTTGAAAAGGGGAAAGTGTAAATTCTTGGAAAAGGAAGTCATTTTCCTGGGACACAAAGTGGATGCCACTGGTATTCATCCAGTTCCTGAAAAAGTCCAAGCAGTTCAAGATGCACCAAGACCGACGTCAGTAACAGAGCTGAAAGCATATTTGGGACTGTTGAATTTCTATAACAGGTTTCTGCCAAACCTCTCAACACTGCTTGCTCCATTGCACAGGCTTTTAAAGAAGGATGTCCCCTGGTGTTGGAAAGAGGAAGAAGAGGAAGTTTTTAAAAAATCCAAAGAGTTACTGCAGTCTAACCGTGTGTTAATCCACTATGATGAGAAAAAACAATTAGTGCTTTCTTGTGATGCCTCAGCGTACGGTGTGGGAGCCGTGTTGGCACACCGTATGGCAGATGGAACGGAGAGACCCATTGGGTTTGTATCACGAACACTTACAGTAGCAGAAAAAAACTACTCACAGCTGGAGAAGGAGGGTTTAGCTGTAGTGTTCGGGGTAAAGAAATTCCATAAATATCTGTATGGCCGTAAATTTGTGATCTGTACAGACCATAAACCTTTATTAAGTTTACTGAATGAACTGAAAGCTGTGCCGCAGATGGTCTCTCAAAGAATTATGAGATGGGCAGTGATGTTGGGGGCATATGAGTATGTCATTTCTTATAGAGCGGGCAAGGACAATGGAAATGCAGATGCCCTCAGTCGTCTTCCTGTTCTAGAGATTCCAGAGAAAGAATCGAAGGAGGATTATGTTTTGATGTTGGACAGCGTTGTAAGTCCTTTGACGACATCAGAGCAAATCAAGCACTGGACAACTCGAGATCCTGTCCTCTCTAGAGTGCGTGAGTATGTGCTTAAAGGTTGGCCTGATCACAGTAATACAAATGAATTTGCACCTTATAAACAGAGACAACAAGAGCTCAGTGTTCAAGACGGGTGTGTGCTGTGGGGAGCCCGCATCATCATTCCAGAGCAAGGACGTTCGGGGTTGCTGGAACAGCTACACCAGTCTCACCCAGGTATGTCAAGGATGAAAGGCCTGGCAAGGAGTTACCTGTGGTGGCCAAATTTAGATGTTGACATTGAGGCCCGAGTAAAAGATTGTACTGTGTGTCAAGAACACCGAAAAGCCCCTGTGGGTGCACCACTTCATCCGTGGGAGTGGCCACGACAGCCATGGAGAAGAGTTCATATGGACTATGCTGGTCCATTCCTGGGAAAGATGTTTTTAATCTTAGTTGATGCCCATTCTAAGTGGATTGAGGCATATCCCGTAAATTCAGCAACAACAGCGAATACTCTTGAGTGCCTCAGAAAGAGTTTCAGTACCCATGGCATTCCTGAAATGATGGTGTCGGATAACGCTCAGTGTTTTGTAAGTGAAGTGAGCAAAGAATTTATGTCTAGAAATGGCATAACGCATGTTACTTCTGCCCCGTATCATCCATCATCTAATGGTCTTGCTGAGCGGGCAGTCCACACTTTTAAGGACCTTATGAAAAAAAGTTCTGGGAACACTATGGAGACCAAGTTGCATAGAGCATTGTTTAGCTATCGTATTACACCCCAGTCTACAACGGGATTGTCACCTGCAGAAATGATGATGGGGAGGAAATTGCGATGCACCCTAGACAGAATGCACCCTGACTTCACCAGCAAAATTGAATTGAAACAACAAGTTCAAAAAGAGCAACATGACCAACATGCAAAATCTCGCTGTTTTGAAGTAGGAGATGCGGTGTACACTAGGAACTTTGGGTATGGACCAAAATGGGTGCAGGGAGTAATTCAGGAAATCACAGGACCTGTATCCTATAAAGTGGCAATAGGAAGTGCCCAAATAGTGCGACGTCATGTGGATCAATTATTCAGGCGACAACAAAAAGAGATCCTGACTAAAGACTTTCAAGCGGCCTTGGGGGAACCTTATGATTCTGATGTGGTGTCAATTGATGCTGATGTTAAAATGCCTGAATCACTCAGTACGTCAACAACACTTGAATCTTCAGATAACTGGGAGCCTGAGAGTTTGAAATCTGGATGTCAAAGAAATCAATTGTCAGATTCACCCAGTGCTCAAAGAAGGCCTGAATTGACTCAAAGTGCATCCCTTGAGAGTGCATCCTCTGGATGTCTACGACGTTCAGTAAGAGAGAGGAAACCACCAGCATATTTTAAAGACTTTGTGACATAAGAAATAGTTCTTCATCAAGAAGAACCTATTGAATTATGAATGATATGAATTGTGTGATGTAAAAAAAAAAAAAAAAAAAAAAAATCACTGTAAAAATGTCCTAGAATATGTGTTTTGGGGAAGGATTGCCTCCGAGTTAAGTGGAGGGGAAATGTTGTATGTTAAGGGTGGTATTGGGTTTGTCCAGTAGGGGGCGATGGTGCATTGTGTTTGTGGGCTGTTGCACTGTTAAAAGCAGAGAAGAACGCGCAGTGTGGGGTACTTGTGTGTGTATTGCTAGCTACAGAGATGAGTCCTAATAAAACGAGACCATCCTGAAGTTACCGTTGTCTCTGAGTTTTTCCTCGGTATCTACGATACAACAAAAACACTGAGCTTATTGCGATTATATGTGGTTAATGGTGGTTAGGCAACAGCCCTGTATTCGTTGTGTACACATAACACATGAGGTGCAATGAGCCGGGTCTGGGCGGGGCAGCAGGGGGCGGGGCGTGTTCGGTTCGCCATGAGAGTATCGCGATACGTATCGTGGGTGGTGTATCGCGGTTTTTCGGTTCGGTTCAAATATCGTTACACCCCTAATGGTTACCAATGTTTATAGTAGCGGATTAATTTCAAACTGTAATCAAACTGACTGGAACTACCTGTGCATTAAACTGTTTTACTGCACACCTTCCAGCCAATCAGAATCGAGTATTTAAACAGGCCGTGGTATAATAATAATTAAAAAAACAATAAACAATAATATGAGGAACTCTTTTTCTCATGTGTATTTTGGTGACATTTAACATATTGTTAATACATTTTGTATACTGTTTACAAAGTTGTATATCATAAACCTGTCATCTCTGATGTTTTGCAATCTTTATAAATAATAATAAGACCATAATATGAGGCATTGCGTTTGGACATAAACACGATCAGATAAGGCAATTTGTATGGGCAAAATTCAACTGAATATATTCCTTCATACAGCCCGTGACGTGAGTTGGGGGGGGTTTGGGGTGCCCCTTTTTCAGGTCAGAGCAACTGCCCCACAAAATTCCTGTGCACGTCCCTGGCTGAATGGCTTCCCTCCAGAGTGAGAGAGCAGATGCTCTTTGAGAATGTTTTTGTAAGCGAAACTCATTCCACACCGAGAGCATGAGAACGGTTTTTCTCCAGTGTGAATCCTCATGTGATCTTCTAGGTGAACTTTGCGACTGAAACTCTTTCCACACTGAGAGCATGTATAAGGCCTTTCTCCAGTGTGAATCCACATGTGACCATTTAGGTGTCCTTTGCGACTGAAACTCTTTCCACACTGAGAGCATGTGAACGGTTTTTCTCCAGTGTGAACTCTCATGTGTATCTTAAGGTGTCCTTTATGAACGAAACTCTTTCCACACTGAGAGCATGTATAAGGCCTTTCTCCAGTGTGTTCTCTCGTGTGTCTGTTAAGGGTTGATTTACGTGTGAAACTCTTTCCACACTGAGTGCATGTGAACAGATTTTCTCCAGTGTGAGATTTCATGTGTTTATTAAGGTCTGATTTGTGCACGTAAAACATTCCACACTCAGAACAGGATAAAAATCCTTTGACTCCAGATTTTCCAGCTCGTTTCTGTGTGAAATTTTCTTCAGTCTGTGAAACAACTGCATTTCCATCTTCATTTGTGAAATTATGAGGTTTTTGAAACTGTTGCTGTTTGTCTTCATTCACTTCCATCGGGTCTAAAAACAACATTAAATTCCCATAATTCAATTAAAAAAAGGACAAATGAGAAGAAGAGATAACGTTCATTCTTAATTTGGCACAAATCTAGTTTACTACCGAGTCTACTAGTATCTAGTTTTAAATGTATTGTTATATCCTCCGGAGAACCAGAACTTTTTAGTTTTTTTAGTTGTTTATTTTGTCAGTAGATTATTTGGAGCATAAGAAACAAATGGAGATTTTTTTTTTTAAAGATAGTTTATTCATATTTTGTCTGTACACCAGGACTCAGTTATTAAGAAAATAAAATGACATTAGACATGTATAGGCATTCTTTTTTCATTTACCAATACATTTTTAAATTAATGAGTTATGTTATAATGAGTAATAACTTGCCAACATTTTCATGAGAATATCTCATATTTCATCTAAGTCCCGGGGCCAGATGTATAAACGCTGCAATTTTCCACGCACATATGGTGATTTATAAAAAATAAACTAGGCGTAAATGTGCACACCGTACGGACACACTTAATATTTATAAAAATATGCATTCCCTTAACTAAGTTGATACATACCTCTCTCGTCTCAGTGCGTACACTCAATCGCTCTGGCGCGCGAGACACTTTGTTAGCACTTAGCTTAGCCCAGTTCATTCATTAGGATCCAAGCAGAGCAGCGACCAAACACCTCCACGTTTCCCTATTTAAATACAGTTACACGAGTAGTGTAACTACAACTACAACTATAATGTATGGCGGAATACCATAGCAAATGCTTGGGAGCACTTCGACTCGGCGCAGGATTATCATCATATCATCATTCCTGAAAAGTCCTCTCCCTCTCCGGAGTGATGATATGATGATAATCCTGCGCCGAGTCGAAGTGCTCCCAAGCATTTGCTATTATTCCGCCATACATTATAGTTATCCACTTTACACTCTTAGAAAAGCGCAATGTTTTATTTTGTGTCACCGTTCTTGGTCGAGTCACACTACTCGTGTAACTGTATTTAAATAGGGAAACGTGGAGGTGTTTGGTCGCTTCTCTGCTTGGATCCTAATGAATGAACTGGGCTAAGCTAAGTGCTATCAAAGTGTCTCGCGCGCCAGAGCGATTGAGTGTACGCACTGAGACGAGAGAGGTATGCATCAACTCCTCTTAGTTAAGGGAATAACAGTTTAATATGAAAAAACGGTGGAGTATCCCTTTAATTCCCTTTTAATTAATAAAAAATAACTCTTCTCTGAAAACTTTCTCTGAAATGTATTTTATACAATTTTTATTTATTTATTGCAAAACAAGACAAGGATACTGAAAGAATTTTAGTTATGTAATGTGACGGCACATAGTCCGTATCTCATATTGTACTGTCTTGTATCATTAAACATGTTATCACATGGATGAGAATATGCTTGGAAATGAAATGCAGATGATGCTACGCATTGTAAAACGCGGCGTTGTAAGATTCATATATGGTTATTTCTGGGAGGAGACGCATGTACGCACAATCTTCAGCTGACTGGGGTTTATAGATTTGATCATTCAGTCGATCGATTTTAAAGCCAAAGAGAAGGAGTTGTAATGGTGAAACCTAAACATGTGGTATCTCTGAAAAGCCCTGAATGTGCTCTTTACAGGAAAACCAGACTCAAAAGTCGAAGCCTGGATCTCAAGAGGATATGTGAGTTTTCATCTTAATGTTCCTCATCAGTCATTAAAGAGAATGAAGGAAAACACCAACCTATTTGTTCCTCTGTATCTTCATCTTTTATTCTGCAGGGTTCTTCCTTAAAGGGATACTTCACCTCTGGAAAGATGAATGTGTATTTAAAATGGGTCATTTATGTAGAAGAAATGTGAAATTATTTTTGAATTCATAAATCTCTCGTCTCAGGGGGATATGAGGGTGTAAAGCGCGGTAATTCGAAAATACTACAGGTTTTCAAAAAAAAAAAAAAAAAAAATGTATTATCACATAGAACTGTGTATGTGCATTTATTAATTAATGTTTTTAATTCACGAGATTCATGTTTGGAATTATTACAGAAGGTTTGATCACAGTTTTAGTCACAGAAACCAGCGCAAGCGGCTCGTCAAGTCTTCTCTTTCTCCCTCTCAAAATGCGCAAATGTCTTCACATCCATATATTCACATTGATTTTGCTCTGCAAGAAAGCTGCACGGTACAATACAAGACTTTAGTGCTTTATATCAGGCCAATTTATAAATTCAAGCGATTTTAAACTATAAACTTAAAGTACTCGCGCGCCCTCTTCAGTCAGTGCTCAACCAACGTCCACACACATAGCCGTCTCTCACGAGTGTCAGATTTTCGTGGCTTATTACACATAAACGTTCAAATACACACATAGTTATGTCAAAATGCCCGTCTTGGTGAATATTTGTGTCAATTATGTGAATGTGACCAGCATGTGTAAAAGCACGTCCCCATTCATTAGGTCTTAAGTGACAGCAGCCTTTAAAAACTGCTGTCTATTGGCTGCCTGTGTTAATAATGATAATCAAACAACCAAAGAATATCTTAAATAAGGATTAATAGCTTAAATAAGGATTCATATTTAAATGATACAGTTATGATTATGCAGAGTAATTTAATATTTGACATTCAATTTATGTGGTATTTTTACTTGAATACTACTGTGAGACCTATATACCTGAAGAAAATATACAGCATTGCTTAATTATCTTTATTCTATTGTTTTTATTTATGCTACTGCTTCCAATGTGTTTAATCGTTGTTTTATTACTGATTATTGCACCGTAATAAAACCGATTAAACATATAAATGAGTTAATATTTAAGTATTGTAAGTATGTTGTTCTTTTTTTTTACCATGGTGGTATCAGTACTACAGACTACTAGTTTTTGGTATGGTGACATCCGTAATCTGGTGACTCTCTGCGTGGATCTGCGTCTGTCTGTGTGAATTGGTCTTTTAAGTTCCACATAAATTAAAGAGAATGAAGGAAAACACCAACCTATTTGTTCCTCTGTATCTTCATCTTTTATTCTGCAGGGTTCTTCCTTAATCTCCATCTTTACAATAGTATGTCCGTAGTTTCTCCTGGAGTAATTCCTCCTGCTTGCTTCTTCTTCTCCTGTGGGAAGATGGGAATATTCCCCAGCATTTAAACTCTCATGAACGGCTGTGGGAGCTTCACTGACTGAAGGAGTGAATTGTGGTCGTTGTTGCTCATTTAGCAGATGATCATCACACTTACAATCACTCGAGATTATCCAGCTTTAAGTGTTTTGATCAAACTATAACAATTCAACTCTAGCTGGTTTTTATGTTGCTCTTACATTAGATAACATTTACATGCATTAAAACTGTTTATCAGGCTTCATTAAATAAAAATAAAAACAACTCAATCTTCAAAAATTGTAATGTGAAAAACAGTCAGTAACAAGTTTGTTTCACGAGCGTAATGAACAACATCAGTCGATTCATTTCGATTCATTTCTGAGTGATTAACTATAAACTGACTCGTTTAGTCGTTCGGATTTAGATTTCTCCTAATAAATGATAAAATGAATGTACTCACAGTCTGTAAAACAGCAGATTTAGAGCTGAATGAACGGCTGTGTTCCACTTCTCATGTTTATGTTCCCTTCCCTCGCTCACTTCTCTTCTTCTCCTAGACTCGGATGTGTGTCATTGCTTCGGTTGCTCGAGCGCCTCTACTGGCGGAAAACAATCTATAAACTATCTAAACTTCATTAGATACAAAACAACCAATATAAAATCCATTATCTTGTTTAAGATTATACAAACACTATTTATTTCCCCAAATATATTTGATTTGGGATAAAGTTTTAAACTTGTAATTGAATTGAATTGTAATTGTATTCACCTTCTGGACTCAGAATTTTGAATTAATTTTATAGGCTACAAGTTATAACTCAAGCTCAAAACAAGTTAATTACTTTTTTGGACTAAATTGTTTGTCAAAATATAACATATAACTATATAATGTAAGAGCCTAAATGACCGTAAACCTTATTTCATAACTAGCAGGTGGAAAAGTTTCACTGCTGAATGATCACAGACACAGAACACATTCAAGCAATTTCATCTTCTCTCAGTGATGTGTTTGTCGAGTTCATATTATGAGAGGAATCGCCTCTTCAAATATACATAAAAAACAACTGGTGCCATTTTTAGTCAAAAGAATAATTGTTTACTACTACTGGTTCATTAACAATGCTGAATACAATGTTAAACCTCTTGAGCTATTGTAAGCTAAATTAAATCTATTTAGCCAGTTAAATAAATCACAAGTTGTTGGTTATTTTTATTTCTCACATTTACACAATGTGCAGAGAGTGATTTCAATTCAATAAAGTCTTCAATATGTTCTCAATGCATCACCTCTAAACAGCGAGACTAAAAACAAGTTGTTAACTTTGTATGATATTTAATAGACTATTGTTGATATTGTTTCACAAATGCCTCCTATATGTACAATGAAAATGATTAAAGGGGCTATATGTATTTTTTAGCGGCCTCTATCGGTGATGTTTCAGATTGCAACCAATTTTTACAAGAGCGCTCGTTCTCTTGCGCGTGCTCGAACAAAAGAGCGAGCACTCATGGTACCGGCCACACTGAGACTTTCAACACACCGGAGAAAGCATCACACAACATGCTGGAAACTCATGTACACTCCCACTGCAACCTGTAACGACATTGATAGGGTATCCGGCAGATGTTCGGAAATAGCAAAGCCTGATTTGCAGAGATGGGACCAAGTCACACATGTGCAAGTCTCAAGTAAGTCTCAAGTCTTAACCTTCAAGTCTCAAGTAAGTCCCAAGTATTTTTTTCCTGGGCAAGTCAAGTCAAGTCAAGTCACAGGCTATGTCAAGTCAAGTCAAGTCAAGTCTTGTAGTAGGTCAAGTCAAGTCCAAGTCAAGTCACCTTATTATTGTAATTTTACCTGCAGAGTTTGATCTATGGGCGTCAGTTTGGTTTGAAATGAACAGAGGCGCATTCGGAAGTGCATTTGGGAACAATGACGCATTCATTCACTTTTTTCTTTCACGCAGGTCATGTTTTGAAAGATGGTGTCCTGTAGCTTACTAATTTAAAGAAATAAAAATGTATACAAAAATGTGATGTCCGACTTCTTTTATGAAGAAGAAAGCCTTAAAGGGGTCATATAATGGTACATGCACTTTTACAAGTTGATTGTACTGAAATGTGTGTTGGCAGTGCCTGTACACAACCATCATATAATGATAAAAATCCATCCAGTGGTTTTGTTTTAATCTCCTTATATGTTTTCCCCTGCCTCAAATCGAGCCGTTCGAGCCTGTGACGTCACACGGTCGGACGCCCCTCCCACGATTGTTGAATGACAGCCGCGTTTCAACACAGACCCGCCCTCGCTCGTGAGAGCGAGCTGTCAATCATAGTCTGCGCGGACCGGCGCGGTCATTGTTGATATGCTGGAGCACTGTCTATGAGCAGAATGGCGTCTAAGCGATTGTGGTGTTCTGTTCTTGGGTGTAATAACGAACACAGCAGTCATTTTAATGTTCCTAAATCCGAACCGCTGAAGACGCAGTGGCTGAGTTTGTTTTCGAAGGGAATATTCCCCACGAGCAACGTCAATGCTCTCATGTTTGCCCGAATCATTTCACACACCAGACTGCTTTATAAACGAGGGTGAGTATAAAGCTGGATTTGCTAAGTAGCTGCTCATGAAAAAAGATCGGTACCAGATATTCGTGTTCCTGCTGAATCTCCAGAAGAACTGAAGTGAGTGTAACGTTTTATTCAACTTTATATTAATATTTATATCTTTGCAAATCGCTAGCTGCACACTTCACAATGAATGCGTCTAAGGTTTACACTCAGGGTACATTACGGCATGTTTTCTATGTATGACGTTCTCAATATAATTCATAATTCCACGTTTATACTGAACAACGCGTTATGGTTATTGTGTTATTGTGTTACAAACGGTGTACGCACAGAACAGAGGGGCGGGGTGAGCAAATTATCATTTAAAGTCATATGCACTGAAACGGCGTGCTGAAAACAGAGCTGTTTTTGACCAAGTAAAATAAGTGTTTTCTTACAATACTAATGAGAATTTTTAATTAAAGTATATTACAAACTTTTAATTTAGACCCCAAAGAATCATATTAGCTTGTACAAAAATGGCATTATATGCCCCTTTTAAGTTTTCAAAAAGCATTAGACATATGACCCACTATTCTGCTTCGTGTAAGTTATTTATCAATGAATTCAAACGCGTTGGCTGGCGCTGAGCCAGAGACATACGCTCTCAGTGCTGTCATATATCACAACTGTTCAGTGTTTTCAACCACATCATTTTTATTTTAGGTTTCAGACATTTAAATACACATAACTACTAGCAAAAAATATATTTGTAGTTTGTAAAATATACACTGATGATGTCTATGGAAGCGTCAATAATAATCATTTCCATTATAATAAGACGCACGTTTTATTCATATCAGATACACATTGTGTAAGTAGCTTTACATTTTACCCTATTCTTCTCCCAGTTCACCGGTCACTTACTTTCATGTATTTCGTGAGAAGTTGAGAAATTGACGTGTTGTAAACTAACGTTAACATGGCACCGCCCATTCGCACATACAGCTCAACTAACGCGATCATTATAAAGGTGTTTAAACAACAAAACACATCCACTTACACATATTTGACAATCGGAATATCAGTGTTGCATGTTATAGCTAATACATTTGTGAACATTTTGAATAAAACAGGAAAAATGACATAAAAGCAGATCATTCATTCAGCGCTGTGTTGTGGTTGCGCTGTGTCACTTGACAAGCAATGACGCGTCACCATGAAACACTAAAGTGAGTGACAGGTTCTAAATAACGGTCGCCTAGAAAAACTCACGCTGGTGGATCAGTTAGAATAGTTTAAACTTACTTGTGAAAGGGTTAATGGCTACTTTAGCTATTACATTAGCTAACTACCAACTAACATTAACAAATTGACAAGCACTTACTGGGCAGAATGGCTCTTCAAATGACGGACGAAATTGGAGGTTGTCGTCTGGCTGTCCGCAATGTTAATGTTGTAGCCTATGTCTTGCAAAGCGCTGTTCGTCTTTTGCCATGGTGTGAATAATTCTTGAAGCCGAAAGCAATGACCCTCGGTACCCCTCCGGCTGACATTTTGATGTGATATCTGATCTAAGTGGGCGTGGTGTGCGTAAGGTACGAGGTATGACTGATGATAGTGTCGTGATCAACTTTAAAACATTTTTTTATATATATTTTATATTCAAACTGAAAACATGATGTGATTAACACTCAAGTCATTCAAGTCATCGTGTCTCAAGTCAAGTCAAGTCCCGAGTCTTTAACTTCCAAGTCCGAGTCAAGTCTCAAGTATTTCATTTTATGTCAAGTCAAGTCACAAGTCATAAAAATAGCGACTCGAGTCGACTCGAGTCCAAGTCACCAAGTCACAAGTCCCCATGTCTGCTGATTTGCAAACAAAGCTCAGTTCTTCGTGAGTAAACAAAGAGCATTCTGTGTACGACCCCCTTGGGGCATGTTGACCAGCAGGGGGACGCCACTATGACTGGGATCTCCCTGGCATTCACTTAGAATATAAGCGTGTCAATGTTTCCTATACTCCTGTGTGTTTCTCAGTTTATATTCACTGCGTGTATGACGTTTGTTCGAAGTAACAAACTTGCTTTGAAGGAACTAAATGCTTATAAAATGCATATCTTATGTAACTCTGTATTCCTATAATCTTCATGTGACGTGTTTGATATCTCTGTAATTCTCTCAATCTAACGGAGCCGAATTCCGATAGCAGAATGCAGTAATGTGCATTCTTTTACACATTTCATAGTGCTGGAGCCGAACGGCTCAACACAATCTCCTCAGTCCAGTGGGCATCCCCCACAGGACAAAGAAAACCTTGTCCGCTTCAGATTCTAGGACGGTCATGGGTGGCTCGCGCAAACAGAGGCGTGAACCCAATTTTTCCATAAAAGACTGACCCCAGGAAGTTCCTATAGAGAGCTTTTTCCCTGTGAGAGGTTTCCAGTTCCATGGCTCCTTAGGGAGCTTTACGCCATGTTTCTCCTTTTTCTTTAATCTTTCTTTATTTTCGTCTTCGGACTTTCCTACGTTCAGTTTCAGTGAAATCAACGTAATCGGCAACTTCAACTTTAAAGAGACTCTTTGAACCAACCAGCAACTGCACCTCAAAGC